GAGGTGCATGAGGATCGCTGCCCCGCTCTGCTTGTCCTCAGGCGTCCAGGCCCGAGCGCTGGCGTTGCGCTGATCGCACCCGCGCCGCCTCTCAGTGATCCCCACCCGGGCGCAATCTGCGTAAGGAGCGCTAGCCACCGAAGAATTGGGAGGCAGAGGAGGTTGGCCTGGGGGGGCAGGAGGGGGGCAGTGCAAGAGGCGAGTGCTCGGGGCGGCCGCGCCCGAGCCGGTGATCGACCTGGGGTTGCCTGTACGGGCGGGCCCGCGCTAGCAACCTTCAACCCCCTTTTAAAAGACTGCGAGTCGAGGTTTCCCTAAGAGCGTCCCCCACTAGCACTTCCCAACTGTGACCAACGGCCCCGAGGGACTGTTCAATGGTGGCCCACTTGCTGACATGGCAGCTTGGTCAGTGATCCTCCTCCTCATCCTCCGCCTCCTCCTCCTCCTCCTCTTCCTCCCCCTCCCCCTGCTCCCCCTCCCCCCTGCTCCCCCTCCTCCCCGTCCTCCTCATCCGCCTCCTCCTCCTCCTCCTCCTCCTCCTCCTCCTCCTCCTCCTCCTCCTCCTCCTCCTCCTCCACCTCCACCTCCTCCTCCTCCTCCTCCTCCTCCTCCGCCTCCTCCTCCTCCTTTCCCCCCCCCTCTCCCTCCAGGCCAGTTCTTTGTACACCCGAGTCCAGAAGGTCAAAGCTCAGGCTGCAGACGGGGGTCTCAGTGGCGTTGAACGGTTTAACAGGATAGAGATTGGTGAAGCTGATTTGGCGGCGAGGAGGTGCTCCCTCCTCCACCCCTCTCCCAGCCAGTCTGGGTCCGACGAAATTCAGGACCAGATGAAGACGGCTCGGGCTGTGATTCGACTCGCGGCCCGAGTTTTGTCTGCTTGGCCCCGCCTTCAGTTGGATGGAGGTCCTCGTGTCGCGGGCCCAGGTCGGAGGGAAGAGCCCCCTCGCCCTGCTCACTACTGGTCTTTCTGTCGCAACTTTTGGACGAGCCACGTATGCTTGACGCCCAGTCGTAGACAGCATAAGCTTTCGGGGCAGTGGTCGTGTAGGCTCCCCACGAGAGAGAGTACTAGCCACCGGCCGTCATCATCACAAGCTGGTCGATTTCTCGAGCACCGATGGCACGGTGTTGTATGCGTAATAGTGCATGTTTTTCCTGCACCATCGGGGGGCAGGTGAGGAATATGTCCAAGGATTGCCCTGGTGCCCCTCAGAGGCAAGGAGCGCTCCAGACCTGGAAGGACATTTAGTCGGAGAAAACATCTTAAGCTCCCGACGGTCCAGGTCGAGCCATTTTCCCTGCGTGAATAAGCATGCAGGCCTCACCCTGGTGAGACAAAACTCTCCCTCCCCCTCCTCCTCGTCCGCCTCCTCCTCCGCCTCAGGAACGTGTCGGTCCGGGGGCTTCGGCAATTCGCTCGACATGCGCCTGCGTCGTTGGGTGTAGCTCGGCATGATTGGGGAGAGAGGGAAACAGCGGGAGGAGGAAGGAGGAGGAGGAGGAGGAGAAGGAGAATGGGGGGGGATGGGGAGGAGTAGGAGGAGGAGGAGGAGGAGGAGGAGGAGGAGGAGGAGGAGGATTAGGGCGACGAGGAGGTGGAATAAACATTGGCGGGGAAGCGGAGGACAAGGGGGATGAGGCACCATGACATTGGAAACACACATGGCTGGATACACATGCGGGGCTTGCGCAGGTCACTTGCTGGACAAACCTGGGGATGGCCAGCGCCGAGCGCTGGGACAGGATGTGCGGCCACTGGTCCGTCCAGCTCTCGTCCAGGCCAACCACGGCACGCGGTTCACGATCCAGCTGCCAGGCGTGCGGCGGCCTGTTCCTTTCGCGCGACCGACAGACACACCGACAGAAAGAGAGAGAGAGAGAGAGGGAGCCAGACAGAGAGCGAGAGAGAGGGAGAGGAACAACAAGAGAAGAAGAAAGGCCAGCGCACATCACCGCTGCAAGGCTGCTAAAATAAAGACACAGTTGAGCATCATCAAGTTGGACGCTCGACGCGACAGCGAAACAGGCCCGATCTCTAGCCTGTATTGGGCTAGGGGCATCAGTGATACACAATTAGGCTGTACACACCTTCTACAAGCGAGGGCAAAGAGTCGGTTGCCCCTAGACAGCGCCTGTCCCTCTCTGGGTTGCAGGTCGAGACCGGTAATCAAATTCGGCCAAGCATACACACGCATCCAAAAAGCACGGCCAGGACCATCGACCCTTTCCTCGAAGGCCTCGCAAACCTCACTCCTGCGTCACGAACGTCTCCTGCCGTGGTTCCGCCGGAGCCTTGGCGCCAGCGATCCTCCTCGCCCCTCTCGTCCTCGTCCTCGTGGCCATCCTCATTGCGCGCGCGCCGTCCTCCTCCCGCTCCTCGTCCTTGTCTTCGTCCTCGTTCGTCCTGCGCTCCTTCCCCACGCCATCATGTCTTCGCCCTCGCCCTCCTCCCCGTCCTCACCCTGCTCCTATACTCCTCCACCTTCTACGGTTCTCATCCTCCCCCTCTCCCGTCCTCCTCCCTCTCCTCCCCCTACTCATTCTCCTCCTCCTCCTCCTCATCATACCGAGACGCTGCGACGCCGACGGCAATGGAGCTCTCCGAACGCTGCCGCTTCCCCCGAGGAGGCCCGGTCGGGCCCTCATGGAAGAGTACGTAGACCAAAACACAGAATTCGGGGCCGAGGCCCCGCAGGGCAGGAGGGGACATATCATCACCACATCACTGCATAATCCCAGGAGGAAGGAACATGAGAGGGGAGGATGTGGCAAAGTAGCAGCGCGGGCAGCTTGCGGCGCGCACGGGGCCCCGTGAAGGCCTGAGTTGGGCGCCCCCCTCTTTCAGGTCGCGTGGCCTTACTAGGCCACCGCCCCAGAGGGTGCCCAGGGCCCCCGCAGCAAGGGTGCCATATCTCGCAGGCGAAAAAAGCTCGGCGGCAGCGTTAGAGCTACAAAACAAAAGTAAACAGCAAATGGTAAAGAAGAGGAGGGGCTGAAAAAGAAAAGGGAAGGCCAGTGGAGGGGCTGCGGCTGGCTGTTGAAAGTGGGAGGCAAGAGGGGCGCGGGGCCCTCTGTGGGGCGCCACTCGCAGCGGGGAAGGGCTCTGCCCATAGGAAACCCCCACAGGCGCCCCAGAGGCCGACGGCGGGGCCCTTCCCCTGCAAGCAGGCGAAGGGCTCGGTTCCCAGCACGTCGGCCTCCTTGCCGCCTCGGGGATTTCCGCCGAGCGCGGGGGGGGTTGGGGCCCTTCCCCAGAGGTGGCGCGAGGCACCGCCCGCCGCTCTCGCCATGCGGCCACCGTCCCCATGACTGGCATGTTTGGGGGGGTTCCACCGTGCACAGGGGTGGTTTCTGCCGTCTGCGGCGGCGGCGCTTGCGCGCGGCTTGCTGGCCCCCGCCGCCCCGAGCGCGCGCCAGCGCCCCCGCCCCGAAGCACGGCGGGCGGTCAGGGACTGCAGCCGCTGGGAGCTGACTGTGGATGTTCAAGGTGGAGGTGGGGATCTGGCGAAACAGTGGGGGTGGGGTCCTGCTAGCAGAGGTTGAAAGATGGTTTGGTCGGTGCCCTGATGGCCGCTGCCCTGACGGCTAGTTACGGCCGCGGCCGCCCTGGCCCTTGCCAGGGCAGCCCGCGGCGAGTCCGAGCCCCCTCCCGCTCGCGCGCATGCCCGGCCCCTGCCCCGCCACGAGGCGGGGGGGCGATGAAGTTTAGATGGAAGCAGCGAGGGGCGAGGGCCGAAAGAAAGTGAGCCGCTAGGGGGTGGAGGCGGGAGGTTGGCGGGGCCCAGTTACGCCGCGGGTGAGGAAGCCCCTCGAGGACCCGCGGGCTTGCGACAGCAATGGTCTGAATTCGAATCGGCGAGAAGGCCCCGTGGAGGCCCGCGCTGATCGCCGTCGCCACCGATGCTCGCGCTGTAGAAATGCCAAACAAGAAAAATCCCATACCATCAGCTGCGCTGCTTCCGCCTTCACGGCGAGCCGCATGAAGCATGTGTAGGCCGCGGGGAAGTAGCGCGTTGATCGGCCGCCGTTAGGCCGGCCCGATCACGAACATTGCCTCGCTCTGCGGGCGATCCGAGGGAGGTCCCCCGATTCGCCGTGGGCGGGTTGCGCTGGCCAGGTTGATCAGCAGGGATGGCGTCTGCTTAGGTCGGCCATGGCTTCCGCGGGTCGGGGCCGTAGCCTGGTCGAGCCTCCTTGTCCGTCTTCTGCTGGTCGCCGCGGTGGATGACGATGCTGGGTGGTCCGCATGAAGGCGGCGTCGCTGCTGCCATGCGTTCCTCTGCGCGGGGAACGCCCCATTCGATCTTGTGGTCCATGGTCATCTTGCGGAGCGTCGCAGGATTTCGCGTTGCTGTCTGGCGTGGTGCTTGGCGGTCAAAGGTTCCGCTAGCTACCGTTCTGCCCGTTCGGGCCGCGGTCCGCTTGACTTGCCGCAGGGTATCCCTGTTGGTCTGCTCAGCTGCACTCTGTCCTGAGGTCGATGATTGTTGGTCCAGGTGTCCGAGTTGGGGCGGTGCAGCCCCGATGTGGGGGTTCAGGGGTGGCCAGTGGGTCGCGCGCAGTCGGCGGGTCTGGCGTCGGCAATCGGTTATGCTGCTTCTGCGCTTCGCTCGCAAGCCTGGGGGTCTGGTTGGTGATGAGCTCGGCCATCTTGACCATTGCCTCGATTGCGATTTCTGTAGGTCGGTGACGAAGAATGATGTCGGCGCACCCGTGTTTGTCGCATGTGCATCTTGACCCCCATAGGGATATCTCATGCTGTAGCACAACGAATTGGTCATGCATGTCGTCGCGTCTGCGGCTCCTCGGGTGGGTGAGCACGTTGGCCACGCAGTGGCTGGCGTAGTTTGGAAAGCCCGATGTAGCTGGTCCACGTAGAATGGGCGCGCGCCCCGCAGCTCGCGGGGCCCGCAGTGGCTGTTGAGAGCTCCTGCCACGCAGGCCATGGCCTGGTCGTACTCGACGAGGAGGTCGTCGAGTTTTGCTTCACTGTCGACCGCTGCTGGGTCGGTCAGTCCGAGCATCTCGTCGCAGCGGTCGAGGGTGGCCTCGTGTGGGTGCGCATCTTGGACACCACGCACTCGCGCTCGCATGGGTCGTCGCTGGTCATGGCGGTCGGGTTATCGGTGATGTCGCGCGTGCGCTCCTTGATTCGCATCCCTGTGGTCATGCCTAGCGGCGGTGAAGATGGGGGTCGTTCTGCGAGCTCAATGGCCGCGTCTCGGATGCACTTGATGTCGTCGTCGTTGTCCCAGCCCGGCGCGGTTTGGCTCGTGACTGCCGCCTTGGTCTCGCTGTTTCGCGGCGCGGTCGGCGGCGGCTTTGCAGGCGCGCCCAGCCGTGGAAGAGACGGGCTCGGTTGCTTACCCTCGCTGCCGCATGCTGCTCCTGCAGTGGTAGGCTGCGCGATCGGGGTCGGCGTCAGAATAGCCGGTGGAGCTATGTAGCGTGGCGGGATGTACGGTATATTGTCTGGTGGCACTGGTGTCGTTGCCATGGGCCCCCTTGGTGCCCCGGAGCGTTTGGGCTGGGCTCGTAGTCTGCTGCTGGCGGACGGCCCCTCGTGGCCAGTGGAAGCGGGGGCCCCTTAGATCGTGGCGGCCATCAGGTCAGGCAGCAGCGTCGTCATCGTCGTGCTTCGCGGACTGATGTTTGAATCCGACTTTGCTGCGTGTGGCTGTACTGCGTGGATATCTGCGGTGTTCAGGGGTATCCCTTGCTGGGCGTCATAAATGTCGCACTGATTGGCGGGTCGTAGCCGCGCAGGGCGGCCGGTGTCGGTGTCGGAGCGTTTCGTGCCGGTTACATCGCTGTCGGCCGTGCACTCAACTGCTTGCTTTAATCGGTCCACGTTGGCCATGAAGTCGACATCGTTGCAGCACTTTGCGATGGCGGCGTCGGGGAAATCAAACGCAAAGGACCGGTCCTGAAGTGATGGCGACCGCTGCACTGGAGGGGTCGGCGGCATTGGTGGCGACGGCGGCTGCGTCCCTGTCGGGGCGGCTATCGATGGGGTAGTGGATACTGTTGTAGCTCCCGTCGTAAAGCTATTCCACAGTGTCTGACGATAGAGCCCTTTCCCAGCATGCTTAAAGGAGTACGTTGCCCGGGTCTGTCGGCATCTTTTCCCTGGTGCCCAGGTTTTAGTAGTACACGTGGTGGTTTCAGACGAAGACGTCGCCCTCGTGCTCGTAGTCGATCCATGGTCTCGGTGGTGGCAGTCGATGGTTGGGTGCTAATGGTAGCCATTCGGAAACTGCTATGCGTCAGATTACCTCGTCGTGCGCATGCGGGTTCCAAGTCGGGTAATATGGCGGGAAAGCAGGAGGTGGCGGGTTATTTGGCGGTGCGGGCAGGGCCTTGTGAGGGGCCTGCTGGGTCGGGCTCGCGGCAATTACCCTGCTGCTTGTCTTTGAGTTGACTGGCGTAGGTTGCTCACGTCTTGGCTTTTCCGTGTCTTGCTACCCACGCGTAGTTGTGGAATGGGAAGATTCCCCAGCACTCGGTGTCCTTGTTGGCGTAGGTCCGCTGGGATGTGCGGCATCAAGTTGTGGATATCGGTAACCGCTGTCTGCATACAGCCGTGAACGTTCATGCTGACCGATTCGACCCGTAGGGCTGGTTCTGGGCGTAACAGTCTCTCCATCCTGATTGCTTCCACGTGTGGTAGCCGATTGCTTGAAACTGGTTGGCCGTGGACCCCCTCGTCGTAGGCATCAGCCGGCGCGCGCCATGCTGCGCCCTCGGAGATATGCCACGCCGGGTTGCCATTCGAGGGTGGGCTGGAGTGTATTATGTACCTTTCATGGATCTCGAGGTAATGGTTGACGAGCACCCTGCAGACCGCACTGTGATCTCTGCAGATAGAGTAATTCCTCGTCGGCGACCTCAACCAATGGTACCAGGTCGCCGTTGGGATTCCCGTCTCCTGCGCGAAGGCCTGCCCGAATCTGGGGCGTCATGTGCGGGTTACTCTTGTCGAAGAGCAAGTTGCCGGTGAGAGTCTGCATGCCCTTTGCTCCCATGGTAGCGAATGTGTGTCGGTCAGGTACAGCAGCAGGGTCGAGGCCTCGCGCTGGTCCAAGACGATGCCGCTCTAATCCGTTGCGCGGAGGGTGTAGGGTGACTTCGCGGGTCCGTGGGTGGATAGCTTTGCGCTCGGCATCCTGCAAGTCTGCCCTATTTTGTACTTGTGCGGGCAGTACTTTCAGGATATGATCGACACTTTCCGTCTCGGTTGCTCGCGGGTTCAACTGTGGGGGATCAGGTAGATGAGGCTCTTCTTCGCAATATCCTTGGCCCTTTTCCCATGGTAGCGCTGCCATAAGTGCCCGTCTATACGTAGATTCGTGGCCGTCCCCGTCGGTGAGCACCCGAACTGTTGTCCTGTAGTGTGGTATGTGGATCGGTCTTGCCGCAATGCAGGCCCATGTGGTTGATGTTGGGGGTGATGGGGCTCCTATTGAAGAGCTCCCTTATTGCGCTGTCGGCCTTCTCCGTGGTCGATATCTTCCACAGCTGGCCGGCAGCGTCCAATTCGGCGAGCGTGAAGTGGTGCGGGTACAGGGTCTTCATCCATCCCGCTGGGGTGTTGGTTGGTATCTGTACCTGTCCGACCTCTAGTTAAGCGTATGTGTACTCATTGGTCAAGGCATCGGACTGTATACCATCTTGTGCTCGGTCGGGTACCCGCCCAGCTGATGTAACCAAAATGGTGTCCAAACGTGAATATTCTGGGCTCCTCCTCATCCTCCTCCTCCTCGTCTCCTCCTCCTCCTCCTCCTCCTCCTCCTCCTCCTCCTCCATCCCCCCTCCTCTTCCGCACTCTCCTTCCCCCTCCTTCCGCCCCACGCACCGATGAACGATGCCGACGACGCCGTCGGGACGGCTGCCACGGCGACGACTTCCCTGCCAAAGACGACGTCGACGACGGCTGCAGCGTTGACGCCCGCGCTGACTGTCGACGCTGAACGCCGACGACGGCGGCCGCGGCGAGGACACCATTGCCAGCGTTGGCGACGTCGTCGACAATGACGACTGCGACGTTGGCGCTGGAGACGACGGCGGCGGCGACGACGACGTCGACGTCGGCGACGAAGGCGACGACTCGGGCCGTCTGGAGATCTCGTCCAAAAACCTCTCGACCCTCAACCCTCGACGACGACGTCGCCGACGACGCCGCCAACGCGGTCAACGACAACGACGAAGATCATCTGAAAGCCGTGGCCTCTGAATTGCTCGTGAATCGTTCCTATGCGTGTGCCCCTCTTCCGTATACCTTTTCTATGGGTCTATGAACTTACGCTCTTTTAGTTATATGTCCTTAAGACTCAATCGGGGATAAATCCCGAAGTGGGAAAAATTGCATGATAAAGCATAGCTCGGACCCCACATCAAGAAGAGTGAAGAGGGAAATGAAGACGGGAGGAATGTGGTAGAAAGGAGGAGGACTGTATAGCGATGGGGGCCACTTTGCGAGAAGGCCCAGGATGTAAAAGCGAAAGTGGCACGGATGGGGGGGCATGAGGGTGCCCAGCCGTACGCTTCGAGAGCGCGCTCCCCGGGTGCGATCCACAATTTGATGTTGAAAACGGATCAAGCTGAAGCCCCTGTTGCTTCACCCACCTAAGGTTGTGGATGCCACGACTATGGACACCCTAACAGTCCTATCATCGAATGAAACATGTGTTCAAAGTGTGGGACACATGTTCTAAACATGTTTAAATATGTGTATTACATGTATAATATGTTTGAAACATCTGGAAATGGTTTGGCAACATGCTTCCTCTCCATTGATCTGGGCAAGAGAGCCACTCCTGAGCAAACTGCGAGGGAGTATCGAGTGGGCCGTTCTTGCTGCAGCTGGGCACCCGCCAGGCAGAAATCCTTGCGAAGAGGCATCGGGCAAAAACACCAGTCCTCAGTGTGAGGCAGTCTCTGGCCAGGGCACTCCGAAGCACATTGTGATGAAATCATTGCGAAGAGGCATCGGGCAAAAACACCAGTCCTCAGTGTGAGGAAGTCTCTGGCCAGGGCACTCCGAAGCACACTGTGCTGAAATCGTCGCGGCTGGGTCTTCAAATGCCACCACTCGAGACCAAACCCGCGCTTCAGCCAGAGTCCCGATCGCACAGAAAAAATCAGCCCGCGACGAGGCGAGAGCGCGCGGAACCGTTTCCATAGACCCCCTTCCCTTGCACCAAGCGGAACTACCCTCCAGAAAGAGAGCAGAGTTCGTCGGCGACCACACCGCTGCCGACGAAACCGTTCCCCTGACAGAACGCTCGACGGCGACAGCGCCACCCCCGACGAGGCCCGCGACGACAGCGGCCGACGACAACGCCAACTCCGACGACAGCTACTACGCCAACTCCGACGACAACGACCGGCGACAGCGACGACAACGACGAGCCGACAACGACTGCGCCGCCGACGACGACGAGCGGCGTCGGCGACGGCGACGGCGACGGCGCCGCCGCCGCCGCCGACGACGACGACGAGCCGACGGCAACGAGCCTCGGCAGACCGCGCCTGGGCCCGCGCGGCGCCCGCCCGGGCGGGCGCCTGGCCGAGGCTCGGGGCGCCCGAGCCGGAGGCCTGGAGGGGGCGGCGTGGCGGCATGCGCCGAGGGCGGGCGGCGGGTGGCGGGAGGACCTCTAGGCCTCCTCGTCCTCCTCCTCCTCCTCCTCCTCCTCCGCCTCGTCCTCCTCCTCCTCCTCCGCCTCGTCCTCCTCCTCCTCCTCCTCCTCCTCTCTCCACCTCGTCCTCCTCCTCCTCCTCCTCCTCCTCCACCTCGTCCTCCTCCTCCTCCTCCTCCTCCTCCTCCTCCTCCCGTTGGCATGCGCACTACACGTCGTTCGTTTCCAATCGTGTTCATTTCTAGTTGTGCTCGTTTCTAACTGTTCCTGGCCCCCCCAGTGGCCAGGAAGAGGTCCAGGATATAGAAATGAAAAGATCTTGGCCCCAAAAAATCAACTAACTTTCAAAGAATTAGAAATGAACAATGTGTAAGTGAAGACCCCCCTGATTTTTTTGAGGGAGACCCAGGCAGCAGTGGGCGCAATCCGTCTACGATCTCGACCATCTGAGCATCTGGAGTATTTTGCCTCCTCCACCTCCACCCCCCTAGAGGCGCCCGCTGCGGCCGCGGCAACTTTTTAGTTGCTAGTTCTGCCCACGCGTCCTTCATGTATGCACGGCTTCTTTTCATTTTCCTGGCCACCAGGATAACCTCAAGAGAGTCCAAAACGCCCCCCGAAGTGCCCCAAGGCTCGGACACCTGTTTTTGAAGGTTCTCGACACGGCCCCAGCATTGTCCCAAAGGCTCCCAGAGAGCGTCAACTTGACCACTTCGAGGAGGTGCTTGCTGTCAATGGGCAGGCAGGTGTGGAACTGCGGAGCTCTCATGCTGCACCCTGCAATCCACCACTGCAATCCGCAGTGGAACCCGCTGCGGAACGAAAGTTTGAACCACAATTGCTAAGCAGCGTGAGGAGGACAGGGCAAACACATGTCTCGGAGGGCAAAAGAAAGCGCAAGGTTTCCCAACATGGAGGCCTGCTTCGGCGTCATGGTGACCTGGGCCTCGACCACGAAGCTGACCTCGCCAGCCCGCCATTCTATACACCTATGTGTATACATTTGTGTGTATATATTACACATTGAAAACACCATAACGCAACCCACTAACCACATTGACTTCAAACGTCTCCGACAGGTCCTTTGTGTTGCCTGGTTGCCCAGGACTCCCGGACGCTCTGAATGACATTTTCTGGCTGGCGTGCGCTAGAAGCGAGAAGTCAACCTAGGAGAACTAGACACCTGGTCCCCTGCAGATGCGGAAAAGAGTGAGTGGGGGCGGCGCAAGCGAGTCGCGGCACGGGTGGGTCGCGGCGCAGGTGGGTTGCGTTTCTGGTGGATTGCGGGTGGAACGAGGCGCGGATCGGTCGCGGGGCGACGACGACAAGAACAACAGCAACCATACTCGCGTGTCGCCCAACATGTGCACCGCATTAGAACCACGTGGGCTTCGCGCGCGTCCAAGCAAAGCCATTGTCAGAACAATCAACGGATGGGCATGCACACCACCCCACGACGATCACCACATGGGAACACCTGCGCAACCGTGGGCATACGTATCTCAATAACGCCAACCCCCAGAATGCTTCGGCACATCCTTCGCACGGATCGTGCAATTAGGGAACTCCGCCTACGGCCCCCCGCCCATCTCGGCACACCCCTCACAGGGATCGTGCCCCACAGAGGGCTCCATCTACGGACCCAGAGACAAAATTCACGTGGCGGCGCACCCCTCACGCGGATCGCATTGTTCCGAAGGCAACTGCACTTACAGTAGAGGGAGGCTTCGCATAGCGTTGCCCCGCTCACCCCTCTTCATGCGGATCGTGCCGCACGTGGAGTTGAGCGCGCCGATGCACGCGTGCTCCGCATCAGCCCCCTATCCGCACTGTCCCGCGGCGCGCAGTATTTGAAGAGAGGGTCGCGCCTTGCGCTACAAGTAGGGCTGAGCCCGTCGCCAAGCGAACTGCTAGCTCCCATACACACATATATCTATACATCTATATATATATGTATACATGTATACAGTACACAACACACATACTTATCGAAGACACCTACGACGAATCACCGCCGCCCCCTGCCTTTTGGAATCGCCCATGTGGCCGATTTTGAAAAGCGTCTCTGTGTCCAAACGTTTGGGTGAAGAGCTTGGATAAGTAATCGGACCAGGTGTTCCCCGAGCCGCTGTGGAAACCTTTCGGAGAACACTTGGAAGAGCCTGAGGCAGAGAATCAGGAGAGGGGGGAGGATGACGACTAGGAGGGGGATGAGGAGGAGAAGGAGGAGGAGGAAGAGGAAGAGGAGAAGGAGGCCTCCTGGGAGCCTCTTGAGCCACCTCTTACCATTGGTAGTAGTCGCATCATTCTCACACGCCATACACGCGAACCCTCTGGGACGTGCCATGGCACGCACCCGTTGAAACTCGTGTAATACCCGCACTCTCTGGGTTTGCACGCACCCATCGGGACACGTACGTAATACTATACACGCGCCCTTCGGGACGTGCTCCAGCATGCACCCAATGGGGCACATGTAGTAATAATGTTAATCTGAATTGTAAGCTCCTTTGAGGTTTCTTGGGGGCCTCCTTGGCAGTAGTAAGGCGTTCCTGGCTCGTCTGACGTCGCCGGAAGCCGTCTAATTAGGGGGTCTCTCTGAACCGACTTGGGGCCCTCTTGGGGCGCTTCAGGGCAGTCCCGGGGAGGATTTTGGGTGTCTTGGAGGCAAGGGGGGCTGTATGTTTGGTTGTCTTCGGCTGTCACGCCGTCGGAAGGTGACTTGAGAGAATATCATAACTAACATGTGGCCTAATACTTAGACGAGCTATCGAACCAGCTGTTCCCCGAGTCGCTGCGGAAAGCTTTCGGGGAACACGTGAGCGAGAAAAAGAAAAAGAAACTATACAAGTAATATTGCGAAAAAGAATCATACACATAAGAATGTGCACGTAAAGTTTCCATTGAGGTTATCTCGGAGGTTTGGACTTCTGAGCAGTTTCGGGTAATTTTGGCGCATTTGGGCCAGTCTGAGGCCGTCGTCCACGCGCGTTGGGCCGTTTTGGTGAACACGTTGGTTCTCCGCCAAAGCCTGCTCGCCTGATGTTAAAGATTTCACTGGGATTTGTTCCCCGAAGCTGCTTATTCATGATGCGGGGGAACATCAAGGGGAAGCGTTCGTCTTTGGGAGCACCATACAACGAAAACAAATCATTCAACAATGTCATAACATATTAGACCATCCATGTACGACCATCGATGTTCAGAGAGTGCCGTGTTGGGCTTTTGGGCCCGAGACCTGTCCTGGGTCGTCGTCCATACGTCTTGGGCTGTTTTGGGTTCGCCATGGGTCTCCGTCGAAGCCAGCTCGCTTGACGTTGGATCGTTCCACTAGGGCTTGTTCCCCGAAGCTGCCTATACATGATTCGGGGAACGCTCCTGGGATAGCTGTCGTAGCCTCATCGGCGAGAGCGCGCTGTTGACGTACATTGGTTTCGCTCCCTTCCTGAATCGTGTCCGTCCGTCGTTGTTTTTGGACTCAAGTTCTCTCGAGCCCGAAGCACGCGATATCATCAAACACAATTCTATCCCGAGGCAGTGCATGGCCATGCCCAGCTCATCCGCCGCTGGGCCGTCCCGTCTGGACGTCCGGGAGGACGTCGGCGCGGGGCTCGCGCGGGGCCCGCGTGGAGCTTGGATGAGCAGTTGGGCGAGGAGCTCCCCGAGCCGTCGTGGAAACCTTTCGGGGAACACGTGGGCGAGAAAGAAGAAGATGATGCAGAAGAAGAAGAAGAAGCGCCGTGACAAGAAGAAGAAGAAGAGGCAGGAGCAACGAGGCGAGGCGAGCGTGCGTGGACAGGCGAGGCGAGCGTTCGGCTTCCGCCGCCGAGCAGGGAGGCAGGGCGGTGGCCTCGCCGATGGCCTCGTCGCCCTCGGCCGGCCGGAGCGGCACCTCGCGCCCCCGCGGCTTCTCGTGCCCGTGTCTGTGCATGTCCCTGAGGTCCTCCACCCGCTCGCCTCTCCGAGGGGCGCAGACAGCCCGCTCCCCCCGCGCAGCGAGCAGATGCGGGCCCCGAGGGTGTGCGCCCCACCGTCATCTCCATGTTCCCCTCCCCCTCCTCTGCCCTGCTCCTCCTCTCCCCATGTCCTGGGAGAGGGATGGGGGGGGAGGGAGGCTGGTGGTGGTGCATCTTCTCAGGCCGCGTAACAGATCAGGACGGACTCCTTTTCGCAGAAAAACGGGCTCTGGGGGCCCTCCCCGGGACCCGGGTCCGTCAAGAGACCGCTCGGGATTTGGAGCTGGTCGGGGGGAACGGATCCAGGACTCCCGGGGGCCACCTCTGCGAAGAACTCACGACGTCGCGGCTTGGGGGCTCCCTCACCAAATTGGCGGCGCCCGCTGAGGGAGAGGCGCGAGGGGGGCGGCTCGCTGAGAGGGCGGAGAGGCGACTTAGAAGGCAGAGCTCTTCTTCGAGGGCCCCCGAGGCCTCTCATGCGGTTTCTCGCCGCCAATATTGCGTGGCAGCGACAGGGGGGACCGGCACAGGGGGAGAAGCATCGACCCAGGATCGGCGAGGCATCGCGGGTAGATGGGCGATGGGGCCCCGATAGCGAATACGCGCGTTCCTGGGGCCAGGTCGGCTATCGGGCCCGTGTCGGCGATTGGGCGATGGGGGGTTCGACGCATTCCCCCCTGAGCCCGTACCCCCCCCAACGTTGCGCCTGGAAGGGGGCAGACAGAAGAGGGAAAGCGCACTGCATCATAGTGCGACTGCAGGCTTGCCAGGGTTGCACACGTACCGCTGAGGCATGCTGGCAAGATGGCCGTGAGCATGCGCGTCTGCATCCGCATGCAGAGAGCGCGCAGGCCACGAGCTGGACACACACGCGGAGCACCAGCGCACCCAGCACGCGGGAAAGACGCACGGCCACATGTGCATCCAGCTCTCGCACAGGCTGGCCTTAGGTCGGGCCTGACCCCCTACAGGGGGATTTTGGATGAAAAATACAAGAAAAATTCAAAAAATATTCAAAACATGCCCAAAAATACTAAAAAAATAGTTTCCCTGACTATTTTTTCACTATTTTTGAATTTTCCCCTTGTAGAGGGACAGACCCGACTTAAGGCTGGCCCCATCACAATGACCCAGCTTCCTGGTAGGCACCCCGCATTTTTGTTCCGAGCCTATCTGCCGCAGCATCTCGTCGAAACGCCAGTCGGACTTGTCCATGCGGACCGGCGCGTACTTGGAGTCGATCGCGTCGCGCATGGCCTTCCTCCGCTGCTCCACCCTGCAGGACGCGAGTGCTCTCTCGAAGAGCTGCTCGATCGCCATCTTGATCACGCCGACCTCGCTTTCGTCTTTGGACTTCTCCTCGAGAGCGCGGTTCAGACTCTGTTCTACTTGCTGGCTCTGCACACGCGCGTGTTCCAGCCGCCCCTGGCAGTCGTGCAACTTGCTGCTGACCTGCAGGTGCTCATTCTGCAGCGCCGACGACTCCCGCTGGTATCTCTCGCGCAGCTCGTCGAGGCGTCCGACCACCTCCGCGTTGGCCGCGTGAAGCTCGACGTTGCCCTGTTCAAGTGTGTTATACCGGTTGATGATCTCCTCGACCTCAGCAAAATCCCCTTCGCACTCCGTCGCGACCTCCTCCATGAACTCCTTGCACCTTGAGTTGTTGGCACGGTGGCGCGAGAATATGTATCACGAGAGACAATGCCCCTGCCCATCAATACGGACCTGCCTGGGAGGAACATGGGAGCGACCTTGTGAAGCATGCAGCGATAATGATTGCCACGCAGTTTGGGACCGTGCGGAGGACTGGACTTCACGCCAAATCGATACGTACATATCTAAGTGAACAAATGCACACATAGAAACTCATAGGAGGAGTTCTGTGGATATACAGACGTGCGAATGTCAACCATATTTTCTTGCTAGACTCAGCACATGCAGGGCACCATCCATATTCATGACGTAGACGGAGCTACATGCACACAAGCATGCGCATATTCGCCCCCCGCTTGCAGGATGGTCGAGGTATGTACGTGTGTTGTGGAGCCCCTTGGCGCAAAAACAGCGTGCCCGACCCAGGAACGTACACCGAGAGTCATGTTCAGCACCAGGTCTACCCCTTCTTGGCCTTCCGGCTCTGGCCCTAGAGCCCAAGAGGTCCCAAAAACATCCGGGGGGGCGCTGATCTGAAAGCCCCAAGGCAACCCCGAGCCCCCTAAGACGAGCTAGAGCGGATTAGAGGACGTTGACCAGGGCAGGTCCATCTTGGGCCCATCTCGGCTTGGCCAGGAAACCCTCAGCGTGAGCAATCCTGAGCCTGGATTCTGATTGGCAGGGAATCGCGTAATATGTCGGAGGTTGGGGGGTGAGATCGCAGTGGAACGGGGACCCCCAACCGGGAAATCGTTTCGTTTCGTTCGTGTCGTGCGCGCGGGCGAGGCGAAGCTGCGTGGGCGCGCGAAAGTAATGAACCCGCCGTTGCTAGGGCGAAGAAAGACAGACAGAGGCCACGCGCCAGCCTATGGCACGGCGCTTTGGCAGAGCGATGCGGGCACGCCAAACGCGTGCAGAAGAGGAGCAACAACATGCCAAAGTCATGAAATCCTACACACACGCCAAACACGTGCCGGTGCAGGGGGACGAGGGGGAGGAGGGCGACGATGAACGATTAATAAACCCTCTGGTTTGGTATGGTCGTGATGTGCCTCAGAATGCATCCAAGCATGAAGTGTCTAACTCGCCGTGCTTTGCTGTAGTAGCTCGTATACGCAATTTGCCCACTGCAATTTCGGACGTCCCCGCTTCCTGACAGAGCGCCACTCCTGGGGATGTCCCCACCGTGCTCGCAAACAGGAGCTTTGAGAAAGATACCGGCTGGCATTGTGGATAATTTGATATATGCATGCATGTGTCTTTTGTGCAACGTCTCGCTGAAAGGCGCTGCCCGTGCTAAGGACACTACGGTTGCGTTCGGCACGCGGGAATAATACGCATGCTGACTTTCAAGACCTTGCGTAAACAAGTCGCTTGGAAGCTGTCCAATCGTGTTCGGTCTGCCTGCAATAACTATCAAGACTTCACATTTTGCAAAATCTTTGGGGCAACGATGGCGTCGAATAGGCGGAGCTTCCGGAAATTGCTGGTGCTTGTGTGATTCCAACATTTTGCCAGTGCTTTGAAAGTCTGTTTGGCTTCCCCCAAACGCCTCGTAATTTCGGGTTTGCTTGCAGAGCCGCTGTGTAGCATTCCTCCCAAATATACAGCTTGTTGAACATGTTTGACAGGTTGGAGGGAACGGTCGTGCACAACCCCTTCGTCATTGATCCTCATCATAACCGTTTGTCCCCATTTCAAAGATAGCCCGCACTGCTTTCAATAATATGTTGTCAAGTCCAAACTCATTTGAAGTTTGAGCGGGCTCGCACTCGCAAGCACGGTGTCGTCAGCGTGCAAGATGTCGTTGCACACGACATATCCTGGCTCACAAAAATCAATCCCAATGTTCTTGTAAGCGTGGTCGAAATCAAAGAACATGACGGTTTGGACAATGCTGCAAGGTATGGATGAAAGGCATGGAGAAAAGGCATGGCATGGTGCCTGCTCTCAGTTGCCTGATGCTAGAGTCCCCGGCCGGATCCTGCAGAAGAAAAGATCGTGTGCTATGGATAACCCCTATGATTGCTAGCATTGGCTCTGGTGTCCCAAACCTCCCCACAACTCGTAGGAATGCGTCATGTTTGATTCGATCAAACGCTTTAGCCCAATCCAAATATACAGCTATCAATCCATGCTCAGGGGCGCTCTGGACTTCGTCAAAATTCGGCGCGCGATGGAAATTGCGTCTATCGTGCTCCGCCGTGGTCTGAATCCAAATTGTGTGGGCCGGATTATGTCTTCGGCTCCTCCCTGTTGAAGTCGTTGTTGGATCGTCCACGCCAGTGCCTTGTAGCCCGCAGGAAAGAGAGAAATCGGGCGGCAATTTCCTGGGAGGCTTGCGTTCCATTTTCTTGTATAGCAAAACAACCGCGGCAATCCTCCAAGAATCTGCGATATCTTTGTTGGCCAAACTCCGTTGACATAAATCCAAGAGGTTCGCACAAGCTGCACTCGACATGCGTGGCAGTCTCCAGAATTCCGGCGCTACCCCATCATGTCCCGCAGATTTACCCTTTGCTAATTTTTGTCCATGCTTGCGTCAAATCGTCCATCGTCAAGCTGTTTGTATTTATCGGGTGAGGGTTCCCTAGAGGGGGGCCGTCCGCCTGTGCGTCTGCATATTTGACCTCCCACTGGATGTTCTCGAAATAATCGGCTAAACACGTCTGCTGGTTGATCGCTTTCCAGGGGCCCCCAAAATTGACTCTTGATTGCAATCGGCGTCATCCCAGGAGCTCTACGCAATGCTTCGACTGCGGCCCAAGACCCCCCCATGAGCTGATTGTCCAACCATCGCCGTTTATCTTGCCGTATCGCTTTCTTGATGGTTTTGTCTAGCTGGCGCTCGCCGCACACGTCGCCGCTTTGCCGCGCGTTGCCCCTCTGGCTAAACAGGTCGAGCGCCCCCAAAGATATCCATTTTTGCTGGGGCCTCCGGGCAAGGGCAACAGCAACCTCGGCTGCCGTCGCCGTTGCGTTTGCTACCGCGTCTGCGCGGTCATTAAGAGGTGAGGCTTTCGCATAATTTGGTAGAGCACCTCCAACAGCATCAACCGAAGCCCTGCCCATGCCAGGAGTACTTCGCCACGTGGTTAAACAGCGTCGTTGTGATGTGTTTTTCTTGGTTTGCTTCCCTGATGGAATGCACATTGAATTTGTCATCAAAAAGTGCCGCGTCGGTAATGCCGCTGTCCTGTCCGTCCACGTGTCGCCAATCATGGAGATAGCCTTAGAGTCGATTAAGCACTAGTCTAATTGCGCAAGTCTTTGTCTGTGATGTCGCTGGCCGGGCCGACTCCAGGGGCAGGCGCGTAATACGTGACGAGATGCTCTGGTGGATGCTCGAAATAGGCGTTCGCGGTGATGGCCTCTGACTCCCGGCGCGTCTCGATAAGGAGCTCCCTGTTTGAATTGGTCGTCGTCTTGATCAAGTGCTCCCCCATTACATCATCTTTTCCAGCGACCTTTTCCCCCAATCGCGCATTGAAGCCTCCAAGTGCGACAGTGCAGTAGCGATTACCATGCCAAATCTATGCTTTGTCAACGCTGTCGAACAGATCTTTCCTCCACTCGAAATCCTTTCCAGAGTGCGGAGCACAGACGGTCATGATGTTCAGACGGCCGCCTTCGACTTACTTTCAGCCATGCGAGCCTGTCTCCAAGTAGTTTGAAACTGATGATAGATATTATCGCGCTTTGGGCTAGCATGAACCCGACGCCCAGATAAAGGTACCCTTCGTAAGGCACCAGCGAACCTGACAAAAAGATTAGATATCCATCTCGTAAGACATGCTTTGAATCTGCAGCGTGCGTTTCTTGCATAGACATTATACCTATACTTCTTGCTTCCAAGTGGTTTAGAATCTGAGGCAATTTATTGTGGTCTCGCCCTAGACCCTGGACGTTCCATGTGCCAAGACATCGTTTTCCGACAAGTTCGCAATGCCGCCGAGGGTACCCATATTTGCTATGTGCTGACTGTCCCCATCGTTCTGCACGAAAGTCAGTGGCGCAACTGTCGACACAGACGTCTTTGGTACTACTGTGGCTAGACAGATATGTAGGAGTACGAGGTGGTGCATCAAGCGGGTTGCAGGTATCTTTGCCCTGGAGCGGTAGTGCCCAGCCTGGGATTGGTATCTTTGCCCAAGCCTGGCTGGTCGAAGAGGTGATGACTGGTCTTGCGCTGGCCGGTAGGCGAAGGAGGGGCATCGATGAGGCGGGGAAGGCGGGTGGATGAGGAAATTGATGAGGTAGTGTTCCTGGTGGTTTGCCCAACTTCGTACCGGTGCCGGTTCCCATCACATCGTCGATGATTAGGCCGGCTCTGGTGTCCGGCCGCATTCCCTACTAGTCGTCCGAGCCTTTGGACTTGCCCTTCCCCTTCATGCCTTTGGCGGCTTTGTCCAATAGGTTGTTTCACTTCTCCGTGGGCTCGATCAGTTTTGGGTGCTCCTGTAGCTCTTTCCATTCTCCACTCCTTTGCCCACTCCCACTGCAGACCTCCTGCTGCAGTCGTGATGGTAAGGGCGAACGCCCCGCCCACGTAGACCTGATAAGGAAACGTGTCGTTGACCTTGATGATGTGCTCGAGATTCATGCTCTCTTTCAACATGTATTTGAAGCCGAAGCAAAAGTTCCGCGCGGCACGTTCCACGATGTGCCTGTCGGGAGCAGCCCAAACAAGATTCCCATTCCGGCGTATTTTCGCGCTCCTGTTCAAGGCCACAGCAGTGTCTCTCTCAAGCGTGCTACTTCACCATGCAGCATTGTAGTAGTATCGCCTTTGGTGTACAAGTTGTTTGGGGGACGACCAGAAAACGATGATAATTGATCTTGGAGCCATGCGGATGCTGTGTTCAAAGACTCCCGTTACCTGTCGTTTCCAATCCACGTCGGTAGTTCCATGGCTTGGACGTGCCCCCCTGGAGGCATGCTGCTCTTTCAGTAAAGCAAATTCGGTTTCCAAGCTTCGTATCTTTGCCTGCGCCACTGTGTCCATGGATGCTTCGGAAGTCCTCGCTGAGGCTGGACGTGAAGCGTAGCTTGACTCCAGCAGGCTAGTCCTCTTGGTCAAGTCCTCCATCTCGTGTTTCAGCGGCTTGATGGCCGTCTGGAGGTCATGCTGTGAGACACCATGTTGCTTAATAGCGGTTATATCTTTCCGGATCGGGTCCAATTGCTCAGTCAAAATCTTCCGGAACATGTCTGTAGTAAGTGCTTGGGCATAGGCATGGCGATTATCATGACCAACGGACGAAGGTGGAGGGGCGATGAAAACTCCCAATTGTTCTGACCGATTGTTGCCAAGAGTGTCGTCGCCATCCATCTCGTGAAGCGGGCTGTGGATCCTGTGCTGCTTTGCTCCCCCTGTAGGCGGTGTCCAAAGAGAGTCCTTGAGTAAGTGCCCGACCGGGGTACCTGGCATACGAGAGTCGCCCGAAGAAGACATCGAGGTGGTGACGAACACAGGGAAGATAGGAGAGCGTATAAGACTGACAATTCAGATATGGGGATATAAGGATACTTGGAAGGGAACCTCTTGAGCCAGTGCTTGGATACTTCGCCGTTGCTAGGGCGAAGTCAAGACAAATGATTATCCCCCGCACGCCAGTCCGGCGGTGGCTCGCGGGGTCCCGCGGTGTCCCGTGGTGTCCGCCGTTGCTAGGGCGAAGTCAAGACAAATGATTCTCCCCCGCCCGCCCGTCCGTCCGTCCGTCCGGCGGTGGCTCGCGGTGTCCCGCGGTGTCCCGTGGTGTCCCGTGGTGTCCCGTTGACTGAAATCAAAAGTGAGATCGATAGAGATCGATAGTGAGATCGATGTGGTGCCCCGAGGTGTCCCGTGGTGTCCCAAAAAGTGAGATCGATAGTGAGATCGACAGTTGTCCCGTGGTGTCCCGTTAGGTAAAGCCGACAGTGAGATCGATAGTGAGATCGATGTGGTGCCCTGTGGTGTCCCGTGGTGTCCCAGAAAGTGAAATCGATTGTGAGATCGAACATGAGATCGACAGTTGTCCCGTGGTGTCCCGTGTTGCCCCGTTGAGTGAGATCGATCGTGAGATCGATAGTGAGATCGATAGTGAGATCCCGAGGTGTCCCGTGGTGTCCTATGGTGTCCCGTTGAATGAGATCGATAGTGAGATCGATAGTGAGACCGATAATGAGATCGAGAAATGTCCCGCGGTGTCCCGTGTTGTTCCGTGGTGTCCCGTGGTGTCCGTAAAAGTGAGATCGATAGTGAGATCGAAAGTGAGATCGACAGGTGTCCCGTGGTGTCCCGTTGAATGAGATCGATAGTGAGATCGATTGAGTCAGATGTTGGTTCCCCCCCTTTTCTCCCACCCCCACCACAACCTCCTTATCACCCGATGGGTGGTCGTATAGGTATATGGTCGACATCTCCAACTTCAGACGGCATCACTGGCGCTACGAGACGGCCACTGGACCCCTCGAGGCCTCAGGAGACTCCCCCCAACGCCCAGAGCTGAGGACCCCACAGAGCACCGGCCAAGGGCCCAGTCATGCAAGACGCTTGCTGGGGAGAGCCGTCGCCCAAGTGGAGCCACCCTGACTGAGGCCATCATCGGCCGAGCTCGGGACGCGAGAGGGCCATCTGGGGCCAGTTGGCTCCGCATCCCCCCCCCCTAGTCCTGCCAAGGGGGGACCTGGCACCAGTTGGTGCCCATCGAGGCGAAGCACTGGGCGGGCAGGCGCGGAGGAATCCCTCGCGCCTGCAGGTGAGCCGGATCCTCTTCTGCTCACCAGCCTTCACGGCCTCCTGTTCAGCCAGCTCGCCCTCGAGGATTCGTATGTCCTCGTCAAGCTTGCGGCACTCAAGCCGCTCGTCCTGGGACCTCTTCTGGCTCTTCTGGATGTTATCCTCCAGCTGGTCTAACCGCTTCTTCTCCTCTAGCCAATGCCTCCGGAGCTCGTTTTGCTTCTGAGTAAACATTTCCTCCATCTCCTTGCACGCCTGCATGCGCGTACCCACGTTGATCCGAGTAGCCTCCAAGGCTCGCTGAGCAGCTGAATCCTCGCTCTCCTTTTGGAGCAGCTGCGTGCTCTGGTTCGACTCCTGCAGTGCCGACAGGATCCCCCGCAGCTTCGCGATCTTCGTGTCGTCCGCCTCTGCAGGCAGGACGGCGCGGGAGCTTTCAAACAGACAAAAGCCAGGTAGCAATGCTCATCATGCGTGTCGATCCGATCGATTCCAACGGCTCCCTGACATCCACAACTCCGACGAACTGATTGTTCTGCATACGCGAACCTGGAGCTTACATGAGCGTATGAGAGCTTCCCGTTTGATGATTTTCTGGTGGCCCGAAACCACATCCGAGGGAACAAACATTAACTAATTTCGGGCGATCACCACCAGGGAATTGGTTTCAAAGCCTGCCGCGTGTTACTCTACAGTGTGATATGCGATATACTTATGATGCATGCTCGTTGCCAATGTTATGCGCGCATAGTATGTGCGCATGCTGAGGAGCTACGTGTGCACGTTAGTCGTTTGGCTGATGCATGTACGTTCCTGTGACGTGTGCGTTAGTGTCGCTTGTTTACGTCTGTGTTGCGGTGACTTGCATTATTGGTATACGGTGTTGACGCACGTGGCGTGTGGGTCTCGGATGTGTGTTGGAAGCGCGTGTTTTAATTGCAAGATGTCATTGATTACTCTGGGTCGAGCTCTTGATTTCTATTCGTGACCTCTGGTATGCGCCTCGAAAAAGCCCAAGACGGCCCCAAGACGGCCCCCAAAGGCCCCCCAGACGGCCGAGCCTCCTGCTACAAAAGGCCCCCAGGAGGCCCCCAAGAGGCGCCCAAGAAGTCCCGAAGAGGCCTCCCAGACTCCCAGAGGCCAAGGAGAGCCCCAAGAGTATCCCCCAGGGAATCCCATGATGACCAACTCAATGTTTCCCCCCGAAAGTTTCTGAATGGCTTTCGTCGTCGCCGTCGTCGCCGCTGTCGCCGCCGCCGTCGACGTCGTCGCTGCCGACCTGAAGCCGCAAACCATGTCGCTCACTCGCACCCGCTCTCCCGACACATAGGCAGCATGGCAGCATCCGTGCCTGGGGCCCCGATCCCACTGAGTGAATTGATGAGCAAACAATGCGGAGACACCCCGGCCGCGGAACGCCCGCGGAGTGCGCTCTGCATGGCTCCTGTCAGGGACATCTTGGGCCTGGGCAGCGCAGTCCGCAGGAGGGCCCCCCCCCCCAGGGGGGGATCCCCGCGCGTGCCTTGGTCCACTCCTCGCTGACGTCGGCCCGCGCCAGCAGCGCCACGCCCTCCGCGGCCGCCTTCTGCGCTCTCCGAGCACTGCCCCCCCCCGCGGCCGCCCTCGCCGAGCCCGGGCCCAGCACGGCCAGCTCGCCCGCCGCGGCCAACGCGGGCACCCTCGCCGCAGCAGCCGTGTGCGGGTAGGGGCCGCCGAGGGCGCCGGGCATGCCCGCGGGGCGCGGCCGGGGCCTGGCGCGCTGCGCGGGCCCTTTGGGCGCTGGGCGCTGGCGGCGAGGCTGCCGGAGACGCGCGGCGCGTCGTCGTCGTCGTCGTCGTCGTCGTCGTCGTCGTCGTCGTCGTCGTCGTTGACGTCGCCGTCGCCGTCGCCGTTGCCGTCGCCGTCGCATTTACCGTCGCCGGCCATCACCGTCGCCGTCGCCGTCGCCGTCGCCGTTTCTCTGATCGGGGCTCCCCCCCGGCAAGCGCCTCTGGGCTTCGGCCGAGCTGCGAGGAACAGGCGGGCGCAAGACAGGTGGTGGACGCGGGCCTTACCAGTTGGGCCCCAAGTCCGCCCGTCCCAAAAGAGGCCTTCACGGAGGATCTGGTTCGGAGCGAGGGGGCGGCCATCACACTGACAAGGGTTGGCGTGCTGAGGCCGCCCAGGGCCAACTGGGGAGACTGCTGAAGTCGGCGTGGCATACCTACTGGATGCTGTGCACCCTGCCTCGGTGACGGCGGGCAGCGACGTTTACCAGTAGCGGTAACGGCCACGAGTGGGGCCCTTGTCTACTCAGCGATACCCGAGACGAGAGTCCCAGCAATGAACCCGTAATGAACGAAGGAGGAGGGCCAGCGACGACGATGGCAAAGACGTCGCTAGAGGAGGAAGACTTGGGGGAGGGCGCAGACCCGCGCCCACACGCAGGGGTCACTTCGCAACCTCGACCTCGGCTCCTCCCCTCCACTGCCACGCAGGCGACCCATGGGGGTAGAATGGGGAATCGCTGGCGAACGGTCACAATTTCTACTTTACTACCGCGTCTGCGGTGGCAGACCAAGCGCGAGCAGGCGGCAGAGAAAGCCCCAAGACTGTGAGAGAGGGGAGATGGTCCATGTTCTCCCCGGCCGTGGCCCATGACTTCGGACGGATTGCTGTTTGTTATTGCTGTTGTCTTGGTATTGTTGTTGATGTTGTTGTTCCCTGCAACCCACTGCCGGCCCCCCTTTGTTGTTGAGATCTCGTTCTTTTTGGAAGCGAAGGGTCGTAGACGTGAGGGTCGAGAACAGGTTCGCGGCCGCGACTCCGCCCCCGGGGGCCAGCAGGGGCGCGCGCACTGAGGCGGGACTCCTGATCAGGCACCCCTGGGGCACGGTGGGGCGTCGGCGCGCAGGGGCGCGCCGGCCAGGGCCCAGCTCGATTCGGGCGGGCGGTAGTGGGCTCTTCGAGGTGCCCTGCATGAAAGGGGAGGAGGAGGAGGAGGAGGAGGAGGAGGAGGAGGAGGAGGAGGATCGAGGAGGAGGATCGAGGACGCCCTGGGGTTTTTGCAGGTTCTGAAGGTGCTGGAGGCCCTGAGCAGGACCTCGGGGACGGGCGAGGCGCGGGCCAAGGGGGGCGCGCAGGCGCCCAACAAATCGTTCGGACTCCTGGGGGGGGTCCTTCAGGAGTCGTCAGGGGTCCTCATGGGTCCTGTGGGGTCCTCAGGATTCCTCAAGAGTCGTCAAGGTTCCGCAGGTGTCCCCTGGATCCTTCAGAAATCCTCCGGTTTTCCTCAAGTGTCCTCGGGATTCCTCAGTGCCTTCAGGAGTTCGCAGAAGTCTTCAGGATCCCTCAGGGATCCTCCGGAGACTTCAGGAGCCCGCAGGTGTCTTCACGAACCCGAAGTAGCGGTAGAGGCAATAGTCGCAGTCGTAACGGTAATAGTAGTAGTAGTAGTAGTAGTAGTAGTAGTAGTAGTAGTAGTAGTAGTAGTAGTAGTAGTAGTAGTAGTAGTAGTAGTAGGAGTAATAGTAGTGGTGGTAGTAGTAGTAGTAGTAGCAGCAGTAGTAGTAGTCGTAGTAGTGATAGTAGTGATAGCAGTAGGAGTAATAAAAATACGAATAGAAGCAGTCGAATGAGCATTAGTCGGGTAGTCGTAGTCGTAGTAGTAGTAGTAGTAGTAGTAGCAGCAGTCGAGGTAGTAGTAGCAGTAGCAGTAGCAGTAGTAGCGGTAGTACTAATGGTAATCGTAGTAGTAGTTGTAGTAGTAGTAGTAGTAGTAGTAGTAGCAGTAGTGGTAGTAGTAATAATAGTAAACGTAGTAGAAGTAGTAGTAGCCGTAGTAGTAGTAGTAGTAGTAGAAGAAGTAGTAGTAGTAGTAGTAGTAGTCGTAGTAGCAGTAGTAGTAGTAGTAGTAGTAATAGTGCTAGTAGTAGTAGTAGTAGTAGTAGTAGTAGTAGTAGTAGTAGTAGTAGTAGTAGTAGTAGTAGTAGTAGTAGTAGTAGTAGTAGTAGTAGTAGTAGTAGTAGTAGTAGTAGTAGTAGTAGTAGTAGTAGTAGTAGTAGTCGTAGTAGTAGTAGTAGTAGTAGTAGTAGTAGTAGTAGTAGTAGTAGTAGTAGTAGTACTAGTAGTAGTATTGGTACTAGTAGTCGTAGCCGTAGTAGTAGTAGTAGTAGTAGTAGTAGTAGTAGTAGTACCAGTCATACTAGTAGTAGTATTGGTACTAGTAGTCGTAGCCGTAGTAGTAGTAGTAGTAGTAGTAGTAGTAGTGGTGGTAGTCGTAGCTGTAGTAGTAGTAGCAGTAGTAGAAGTAGTAGTAGTAGTAGTAGTAGTAGTAGTAGTAGAAGAAGTAGTAGTAGTAGTAGTAGTAGTAGTAGTAGTAGTAATAGTAGTACTCGTAGTACTAGTAATCGTAATAATATTAATGGTCGCAATAATGATAGTAGAAGTAGAAGTCGTAAAAGTAACTGGTAATAGCATAGTAGCCGTAGTAAGAAGAACACTGGTCGCAGTAGCCGCAGTAGCCGTAATATTCGTCAAACTAAGCGTAATAGTAGTAGTAGTAGTAGCAGTAGTAGTAGTATCAGTAGTAGTTGTAGTAGTAGTAATAGTAGTAGTAGTGGTAGTAGTGGTAGTAATGGTAATAGTCGTCGTCGTAATAGTCGCAGTACTAGTCGTAGTAGTAGTAGTAGTTGTAGTAGTGGTAGTAGTAGCAGTAGTAGTAGTAGTAGTAGTAGTAGTAGTGGTGGTGGTGGTAGTACTACTACTACAACGAATAGTTGTAGCAGCACTAGTCGTAATATGAATAATGAAACGGCTAGTAGTAGTAGTAGTAGTAGCAGTAGTCGTACTAAAAGTAGTAGTAGTAGTAGTCGTAGTAGTCGTAGTAGTAGTGCTAGCAGTAGTGGCAGTCATCGTAGTAGTAGTAGTAGTAGTAGTAGTAGTAGTAATAGTAGTAATAGTAGTAGTCGTGGTAGTAGTAGTCGCGGTAGTAGTAGCAGCAGTAGTAGCCGTGGCCGTGGCCGTGGTAGTAGTAGCAGTAGTAGTAGTAGTAGTAGTACTAGTAGTAGTAGTAGTAGTAGTAGTAAAAACGATAGTAACCAAAGTAGAAGTAGTAGTAGCAGTAGTATGATTATAATTGGTAGTAGTAGTAGTAGTAGTAGTAATAGAAATAAATAATAGTCGTAGTCGTAGTAGTAGTAGTAATAGCAGTAGTAGTAGTGGTAGTAGTAGTACTAATAGTAGCATTAGTCGTAGTAGTAGTCGTAGTAGCAGTCGTAGTAGCAGTAGTAATAGTAGTAGTAGTAGTAGTAGTAGTAGTAGTAGTAATGGTAGTAGTAGTAGTAGTGGTGGTAGTAGTAGTAGTAGTAGTAGTCCTAGGGGTGGAAGTAGCGGCTGTAGTAGTAGTAGTAGTAGTAGTAGTGGTAGTGACAGTCGTAGTCGTAGTAGTAGTAGTAGTAGTAGTAGTAGTAGTAGTAGTAGTAGTAGTAGTAGTAGTGGTGGTAGTAGTAGTAACAGCAGTAGTAGCAGGAGTAGTAATAATAGTAGCAGTAGTCGTAGTCGTAGTAGTAGTCGTAGTAGTAGTCGTAGTAGTAGTAGTAGCAGTAGAGTAGTAGTAGCAGTAGTAGTAGTAGTAGTAGTAGTAGTAGTAGTAGTAGTAGTAGTAGTAGTAGTAGTAGTAGTAGTAGTAGTAGTAGTAGTAGTAGTAGTAGTAGTAGTAGTAGTAGTAGTAGTAGTAGTAGTAGTAGTAGTAGTAGTAGTAGTAGTAGTAGTAGTAGTAGTAGTAAGTATAGTAGTAGTAGTAGTAGTAGTAGTAGTAGTAGTAGTAGTAGTAGTAGTAGTAGTAGTAGTAGTAGTAGTAGTAGTAGTAGTAGTAGTAGTAGTAGTAGTAGTAGTAGTAGTAGTAGTAGTAGTAGTAGTAGTAGTAGTAGTAGTAGTAGTAGTAGTAGTAGTAGTAGTGGTAGTAGTAGCAGCAGCAGTAGTAGTAGTAGTCGTCGTCGTCGTCGTAGTAGTCGTAGCAGCAGCAGTCGTCGTAGCAGTAGCAGTCCTACCAGCCCTGTTGGCGCAGGTGGTCTGACGAGATGCCCCTTCCCTCTCCTAAGAACACCCTCTTCCCCTACGGGGAGTGGTTTACCCCTCCTCTCTACTCCCTCCCATGGGCTTTTTGGAGGGGGTCCGCGAGGCGTCGGGGCGGGCGTCCAAAAACGGCCTCGGCGAGGAAGCCACAATCATTGGTTGCACTAAAGTGTTGGCCCCATCGCGGCCTCTTGTTTTTTGGGGGGGACTGAACGTTCTACCATCTCCTCCTTTGACCGATGGCCTTCAAGGTTGCCCAAGCAGCCTTCCAAGGCGCTCAGGAGGGCCCCACGAGAGCCCCAAGCGGGCCCCAAGCGGGCCCCAAGAGGACCCCAAGACCCCTCAACGAGCCCCAATAGAGCTCTAATACCCTCCCAAAGAGCCCCGAGAGAGCTCCAAGATGCGAGTTTGAGGGTTCCTGGGGAGGGGCCGAAATCGAGGACCATCCATAGTTTGATCGATGCTTTCCTGGGTGGCCCCAGCAGGCCTTTCAAGGCACCAGTCGCAGCACCAACACAGCTAGCAACAACATCAGCAGCACCACCAGCAGCAGCAGCACCAACCGATGGCTGGGACATCCCACCAGCTCTTTAGGCGGCACGTGGTCTGAGGGATACTGAGGAAGACAGAAAGCGGAAGCACTCCTCCTCCTCTTCCTCCTCCCCTTCCCCTCGCCCCCACGCGGCCCCACGGATGGCCCGAAGAGGCCTTCCAAGGCCCCCCCCCTGCTCCCAGAGATCTCTCTG